AGGAGGAGGAGGAGGAGGAGGAGGAGGAGGAGAGAGTGAGGGAGTGAGGGAGGATTCTGAAGTCTCACTCTCATCGTCGTTATCTCCAAGTCTTTGGGATCGATTTCCATCGTCACGTCCTCATCCAAGAGCGGCATAACGTCAATGCCCTGCCAGACACGAACGGTCAGCACGAGGCTGGATGGATGAAACCACCAGATCTCATCTCATCTCATCTCATCTCATCTCATCTCTTCTCTTCTCTTCTCTTCTCAGGTCATGTCATCTTGTCCGTTCTCTTCTCCACTCGTCTGATGTGCCTCACCGCAAACGACGTCTGCCTCTTAGCTTGAGCATTGAATGGACTGATGCGAACGAGTCTGAGCAACTGGTGAGCACAACAGGAAAACAAACAGGGGAAGGCGAGGGGGCGGTAGGGAAGGGAAGGGAAGGGAAGGGAGGGGAGGGAGGGAAGGGAAGGGAAGGGAAGGGAGGGGAGGGAGGGAAGGGAAGGGAAAGGAGGGGAGGGGAAGGGAGGGAGGAAGGAAGGAAGGAGGGGAGGGAGGGGAGGGGAGGGGAGGGGAAGGGAGGGAGGGGTGGGAGGGGAGGGAGAGGGAGGGAGGGGAAGGATAAGACCACACGGGACAGGGGAAACCTGTGTGCTCCTTTCTCTCCTCGAAGGTATCCGTAAGCATACGGGGCGTCGATCTCAATAGTCGCTGACTTAGTCGCTGACTTGATGCCTGGCAGAGCGACAAGTCATCAGGTGCAACGATGAGGTGAGAAGAAAGGAGAACAGAAAGAACAACAAGACTAGAATGATGATGATGACGATGATGACGATGATGACGATGATGACGAGGAGGAGGAGGAGGAGGAGGAGGAGGACGAGGAGGACGAGGAGGAGGAGGAGGAGGAGGAGGAGGAGGAACAAGAGAAAGAAAAATAATCTTGTGCATCAACATGGTCGTCAACTTCAAAAGACTTCCTAGACACAACCAGCAACATCGAGGGAGAACCGTCAAACATCCACATCTACATCCACATCTACATCTACATCCACATCTACATCCACATCCACATCAGAAAAACTCAACGGGGTAACGGAAGTCAACTCCAAGAGCTGTGAGATAGAGAGCTTCACCTGCTTCTTCTCCTGGCATGTGATCGACCAGCTGATTCTTGTACCCTTTCTTCTCTGCCCATTTCGTGTACATCCTCAACAGCATCTCCGCCCAGTCCATCGCGTCGGTTCCTCCTGCCCCCGCCTGGATCGACAGCAAGCAGCCTCGATGATCGAAAGGCCCCGACAGGAGCTGAGAAAGCTCCCAGCGCTCCAGGTCTTCCTCGAGCTGGGTCAAAGTGAGGAGAGGAGGAGGAGGAGTAAGAGGTGATGGTTGTGGAGGGCAGAGGAGAAGAGCAGTAGGAGATACTTGTGCTTGTGGTCGTGATTGAGCAGGGAGGAGGAGGAGGAGGGAGAGGGAGAAGACAGGAAGGTTTAGCCTCACCCCAGCGATGTTGGTTTCTGCTTCTTTCACGAGTTCACCGTCGAGATCTGACATCTCCATCAGCATCGGAACATAACGAACCCATGGGAAGGAGGGAGGGAGCGGAGGGCTAGGGAGACTTTCGCAGGACGGGCATGCCCACCTTCCCCGGCGAGTTCGAACAATGCCTCTACGTCGTTCCAAATGCTTGTGATCTACCCAGCACCCCTCAGTCTCCTCCTCCTGCTCCTCCGCACCAGCTCCCCCGACTCTTGACACCTTTTCGTTCATCGACAGTTTCGCCTTGGCATCGCTCAATTCCTGCACGTCTGTCACCACCTGGCCGTGGGCTCCTGACCCTCCTGTCCTCGCCTGAAGAGACTTCTGTGCGTTTGCTGCATCGTTCCAGAAGTCGTCCTGCATTGAGGCCGCCTCAAGCTCCCGCACCTTTTGTGTCCACACGTCAATCCCGATGATCATAGCAGAGGCAAAATCAAACAATTGAGGAAAGCTTGTCGGTATCTATGGAGCTGCAGAACCCCTGTTGGTATCACAAAAGCTCAGAAGACATGTATGTCTCCCTACAAGTGAAGAGGTGGAGGAAGAGAAACAAGAGATGGAAAAGGATGTGGAGAAGGAGGAGGAGGAAGAGGAGGAGGAGAGAAGGAATGGAAGAGGAAGCGGAAGGAAGTGGAGCGGGAACAGGAAGAGGAAGAAGAAGAGGAAGAGAAGGAGGAAGAGCAAGAGAGACAGGAAGAGCAGGAGCGAGACGGGAGCTAGATCAAAGAAAGCAGCACTCCTCCACCCACGACACTTTCTCACCTTGTACTTGTCTGCAAGTCCTTGAAACTTCCTCTTGAGCTCAATCTGTCAACACCCCCGTCAACTTCTGCTCGGGATCGGCCGACGAAGACAGACAATGTCGGGCATCGGATTCGTCGTCGACATGAAGTGACACCAGCCCCGCTGCTGCCTCTGCCGCAACTGAGATGTACATCTCCTCCCAAACACATCTGTGGTCCATGGTGTCGTCTACAGCAAAGTCATGCGCCATCATCGCCGAGGCTGACTTCACCGAGGCTCTGCAATGCTGGTCAGCCGGTCGCAACATAGCGGAAGAGGAGAGGAACTCACATGCGGTGATGGGAATGAGGCAAGATGAAAGATAGGCGGTCTGCAGTGCGGACATGACACATGAGCTTCTTGAGCAGGAGAGGAGGAGGGGAGGAAGAGAAAGAGGAGGAAGGGAAGAGAGGGGGAGATGGAAACAGGGTGAAAGGATGAAGGGTGGAGAGGAGGGAGGGAGGAGGGGAGTAGTGGAGGAGTGGAGGAGTGGAGGAGGAGGAGGAGGATTGAGAAAGCAGGAGAAAGTGAGGGTTCAAATCCTCACTTTGTTTGTGATGGCATGGCCGAGAGAGCACAAACGCCGAGCCGTCGGCATTTGAAGCCACAGAGAGCGGCAAGATGGCCTGCATCAAACTTACTCGCTCATACTGCCAGTTCTGCGTGTGAGCTCTTACCTGCAGCAGAAACGAGGCCGAATGCCGGTGATGCAGGGACCGTATCGACTTCATCCTACATGGCTGCTGTCAGCTTGCACATCGAACACGATCGTTCTTGGTCTCCCATGGTGAACCTTTCAGTGCGTCATGCGCTGCATATTCTACCGCTCTCACTCGCTTCCCCCCCCCCTGGATCCAGAATTCTCTGGGAGCTCTTTCCTTTCCTTTCGGCTTCCAGCTCCTCCAGTGTCCTCGTCCTCTCCCTCTCCTCCCTCTCCTCCCCTCCTCTGTCCTCTTGTGTCTGCCCTGCCTCTCCTGCCTCTCCTCCTCTCTTCGCCTTCCATCTCGTGATGACTGCGGGGCCAGCATTTGCGGCCTGCAGGTCTTATCGAGGGGGTGGGGGTAGTCCAGATACAGAATGCACGGGGTAATTTTTGGGTCAATTTGAGGGGTACAATTTTGTTTGAAGGGGTGCATTGTACCCTAACAGATCTTCCGAAGAATGCAGAAGAATGCAGGGACAGGGAGGAGACATGTGGAGAGGGAGGGAGGGAGGGAGGGAGGGAGGGAGGGAGGGAAGAAGGGGAGGAAGGAGGGAGGGGAGACTACTTGCAAGGGCCATGACCAGCTGAAGAGGAGGTGAACAGAAGTCGAAGAGAGTCGTTTCATAGTGAAAAACTGGTGTCAACTTGGACGATTGAGATCTCAGGATGGAAAACATGCTGCTGATGTTTCTTCGTTAGGCTGCGGATTGAACATGCGCTCAAGGAAGGAGAAAGAAACGAAAGAGGAGAAGCCAAGGAAACGAAAGAGGAGAAGCCAAGGTCTTTCTGCTCCTGCTCCTGCTAATGCTCCTGCTCCTGCTCCTGCTCCTGCTCCTGCTCCTGCTCCTGCTCCTGCTCCTCGTCCTTCTGGATATGGCTGCCCATGTCTCTTCTTTTCTACCTCTCAACTTCTTCGCAGGTCTCCACTTGCTGAGAAACCCAAGGCTGGACCCTCCGCCCTCTGGCTTCCTTTCCTGATCTGTGGCGCTCCAGGTAGGAGTTGGAGAGAAGCAGAGGGAGAGGGAGAGGAGGGAGTAAGTGAGAAGAGGAAGTAAGAGGAGGAGGAGGAGAGGAGACGGGGTAAATGAGAGGATAGAATGCTGCTCGTTACGGTCTAGTGATTGGTGTGGAGGAAAATCAGGAAGCATTAGCAGGAAGGGAAAGGAGGAGGAGGAGGAGGAGGAGGAGGAGGAGGAGGAGGAGGAGGAGGAGGAGAAAGGGGGTTGAAATGATTACTTGTTTAGCTCTCACTGCGCTGTGGATGAGTGCTATCCTTTGGCTGATTCTGAAATCGTGGAGATGAAGCAGCCGATCAGGTAAGATACTCGTGAATGAACTCTGTTGTGGTGGTCGTTGTGGTTGTTGATGTGGTTTTTTAATCGTGACGACAACGACGACGACGACGATGACGATGATGGAGAGGATGATGATGATGATGATGATGTTTGAGATGATGAAGATGGAGATGATGGAGATGGAGATGATGATGAAGATGGAGATTGAGATGATAATGATGATGGAGATGATGATGATGAGGGGTTCTATCCCACAATCACTGTTTCATAGTGTATTTCGGGCTGCTGCTATACTCGCAAACTTTCTTGGTCTTGTTGTTGATTGAAATCTTTCTTGTTCTTGCTAGTCATTCAAAACTTTCTTGTTCTTGTCAGTCATTCAAAACTTTCTTGTTCTTGTTAGTCATTCAAAACTTTCTTGTTCTTGTTTATTCTAGTCGTAACATTCATCTCTCCTCCTTCACGGGCTCATCTGATCTTCCTCCAGTACCTCCATGATCTGCTTGCCCACCGTCTCCTCGCTCTCGTTGTTTGCTACTCCCCCGGTCAGCACGTTTTGCACCCAACTGGCAAGGACCTGATAGGAGGAGGTGAGAGGGGAGCAAGAGAAGGGAGTAGGAGGAGGAGGGGGAAGATGAGGAAGAAGAGTGATGAAAGGATGAGCACGAAGAGGCCTTGAGGAGGAGCAGGAGGGGAGGGGAAGGGAGAAAATGAGATGTGGGGACGGGAGAGTGGCCAAGACATGGGGAGGATGAGGGAGAGAGGAAGAAGGGCTTACGGATTGAGAGGTCTTGGCTGTCGGCCAAGTTCGCTTGCCTACCAAACGTCTTAGGGGAAGGCGAGGACGGGGAGAGGAAATCAGTTGGAGTTGTTAACAGGGCTGATCAAGTTAAGAATGAATGCTCTGTTTGTTTGTCGTGCTCTTACTCGTCAACCTGCAATCTCCCCCCCTCTCCCCAAAGAACAGACAAGGCAGTTCCGAACTTGATATCTCCCTCCTCTCCACCTGCCCTTCCCTTCTTTCTCCAATACATCTCCCCGTCCTCTGCTGTCCTTCTCTTCTCCCCTCCCACTCAACTCATCTGCCCTGCCCCACTTCTCCCCCTTCTCTTCTCCTCCTCCCTTACCATTCACGCCTCCCAGCGCCTTTCCCACGAAGGGCATGTCGAGCAGCTCAGCAACAGTTGGACGTTTACCGACGTTCCTCGACGTGCTCTGGTAGTGATGACACGTCAGGGAAGTACAAGGAGAAAATTTGTTTTCACTTTCTCCACGAAGTTCTGCAGAGCAGGGGTGAAGGGCCCGTTCCATGGCAGCCGGAGGGCGTCTCGAGAGAGAACGTTCTCCTGTGAAGAATGATGATGATGATGATGATTATGATGATTATGGAGATGATGATGATGATGATGATGGAGATGGAGATGATGATGATGATGATGATGGAGATGGAGATGATGATGATGATGATGATGGAGATGGAGATGATGAGGATGAGGATGAGGATGATGATGATAAGAGTGGTGCAAGCAATGGTGAATATAATGGTGAAGAGGAGCATGAAGAGGAAGAAAATAAGAATCATGATGGGAAGGAGTCAAACCTTATACTGAAGTTTGTTTGTGCACTTCCCGAAAGGCTCATGTTGTCCGGTAAGAATTTTGAACATCATAACGCCCAGGCTCCTGTCAGGCAAGGAAAGAATGAAAGGGCGACGGGATGGGGCGAGTCAAACAAGGACGAGGAAAGAGATGATGGGGTGAGAGCATCGCGTGGTAGTATAGACGAACAAGAGTGAAGGAGGAGGAGGAGGAGGAGGAGAAGAGATGAGGAGAGACGAGGAGGAGGAGAGAGGAAGAGGAGGAGGAGGAGGTTTACCAGATATCACTTTTCAAAGTGTTCTCAATTCCCAACATTCTCTCTGGTGCCATCAACTCAAGTTTGCCCCGACACCTTTGCAAAATGTCAAAATGTTTGTGATCAAAGTCGAGTATCATCATCATCATCATCATCATAATCTCCACTGTCATCTTCATCTTCATCGTGCTCACTTTGGTTGATCGGCATAACTTGAGTTGTAGAAGTTGCCGAGTCGAACTTTTCCATTGAATGCAATGTAGACTGCAGTTGCGTCGATTCCACTGTACAAGTTTGTGATGACAAACTCAAAAGGAAAGATGGGAGGAGGAGAAGGAGGAGAGGGAGAAGGAGGAGAATCACGAAGAGACGGATGAGGAGAGAGAAAGAGGAGGAGGAAAAGGGGAGGACAGAAGAGAAAGAGGAGGCGGGGATGGGAGAGGGAAAGAGGAGGAGAGTACGAGGAGGAGGAGAAAGTGCAAGAGTCAATGGCAGAGAGACGACTTTGATACCCGTGAATGATGCCAAGTTTGTGCACGTAGAAAAGAGCTTGCAAGACTTGATGAATGACCTGACAGAGGAGCAGGCGAGAGATGAAAGACAAGGAGAAGAAACGTTGTTGAGCATACAGATCATGCAAGCACAAGTGTCACCGTTGACATGACAGCTTCTGGCATGATCTTGGAGCTGATCTGATGCAAGTTGGTGTCCTGACAAGCAAGGTCTTCAACGATAGAAAGAATAATGGTTGTGATGATCTTGTTGGAAGTGAAACAAATTCTGTGGTGATGGAGTTGTTCAAACAGGAAATTGCGCGTTTCTTGTCAAGAATGCTTCTCGTGACAATAATGTTCACAGATGGAAAGATTGATTGTTGTGACATTTGTTGTCTCAGGATTTCTCTTCGCATGTCCCAGTCTCTCTCGATCGTGACAATGGTACCTGAGCCTCCAGAACCATGACGAGGGTAGGAGGAGGATTCTGATCGATGCACGCGTTGACGCAGGCAACGTACATTCTCTTCTCAACACGTCAGGAACACAAAAAGGCAAAGTGCACAAACCTGATACGAACGAGTTTCTGTTGAGGAACAAAACAGTCAGCAGTCGACAACTTGATTGACATGTCACCTTGATCTATGAGGAGGCTGTTCCTGCGTTTGTCCTGAAAGATTGTGAGTTGTCTCATTTCAAGACTGAGCAGACTCACCGGACCCCTGTCGTCGTCGTCCTCGAGCACTTGCGGGAATTGTGAGGAGACGAAGAAGAGGTTTATGGAGGAGGAGGAAGGAGGAAGAGGAAGGAAAAGGGAGAAGGAGGAGAGAAAGGGGGATGAGGAGGAGGGAGGAGAGGATGAAGCAGGAAGGAGGAGGTGAGAATGGTTGACTCAACTTACTCCTTTTCTTTGACATCATTGTGCGGAGACGGAGCAGAGGGTCCTTTGAGGTTGTTTCTCAGCACAACAGGAGAAGAGAGGAGGGAGAGGGAGATAGAGCAGAGTCGAAGAAAGGGATGAAGGACAGAGAGTAAGGAAGGGAGAGATTGAGGAGGACTTAGAGAGGGGAGGAGGAGGAGGAGGAGGAGGAGGAGGAGGAGGAGGAGGAGGAGGAGTAAGGAGCCTAACAAGTTCACGGAAGAAGTCTTCTCTCGACGGAACATCCTGTAAGTTCTAGTCAGTCCCTCCTCCTCTAGTCAACTTCACCGACCTGTAGTCTGATGATCCTACAGAAGTAATCGTGATTGACCTGTTTACAAGCCATTCAGCTCCTCCTGCTGCTGCTGCTGCTGCTGCTGCTGCTGCTGCTGCTGCTGCTGCTGCTGCTGCTTCTGCTCCTGGTTCTGGTCCTGGTCCTGGTCCTGGTCCTGGTTCTGGTCCTGCGTGTGCTCCTGCTCCTGCTCCTGCTCCTGCTCCTGCTCCTGCTCCTGCTCCTGCTCCTGCTCCTGCTCCTGCTCCTGCTCCCCCCTCCTCCCGCCCAATTTTTATCTTCTGAGCTCTGTCTCCTCCCTTTCTCGCTTCATCTTTGCCTATTCCTCTTCTTCGCCCTTTCCATCCTTCTATCCCTCCCTCTCCTCTTCCTCTGTCCCTCCCTCGCTCCCTCGCTCCCTCGATCCCTCTCCTCTTCCTCTGTCCCTCCCTCGCTCCCTCGCTCC